CTAATCCAGAATGACACTTGCAGTAAAGCCCCAAATCGCGCCGGAGAGCAGAGAATCGCTTGTTGTCGCGTGGTCTGCTCTGATCGCGCCTTTTTCCTCTTTGGCTTCTGGTTTCGTGCATAGAACTAGATGACCGAACTCCTTTGTTGCTTCTATCCTCGAATGGGAACCCAACACGCCTGGGAATGCTCTCTTCCGGCAATCTCACTGCACGCAGCCTCAAACGGCCGCGCAAACCGCTTCCTCGGCTTCTCTCACGCATACTACCATATTGGCCACACTCTGAATTGGCCAGAGATATGTGATTGTCTTTCTCCGGTGCCGGGAATGAGTTATTCAACATTTTTTTTGGCTTGATTTAATTTGACCCCTAAAACCCTAACCCTAATCCTAACCCTAACATTAGTTCTGATATCATGTAAGAATTAGGAAAATGAATACTGAATATTTACTTATGTTTTATTGAAATAAAAGTAGAGATATATATACTTGTAAACGGATTCATATATGATAACCAACATAAAATATTTTAATAATTTTCTTCCCAATTATGCTTACATATTTGCGAAGATAATTATATTATTATGTACAGAGAATATTTTATAATATTTTAATAGGGACAAATACAACACCAGATCCTAATGATTTTTGTATATCATTCCTACAAAACTATTGGGAGTCTGTGAAAAGGGATTTATTCAAAGTTTTTCAAGAATTCTATATGGATGGGATGATAAGGATTAGCATGAAGTTTACCATTGTAACTGTTATTCCTAAAAAGGCTTGGTTCATTAGTGTTTTTGATTTTTGTTCTATTAGCATTATGACCAGTATTTATAAAATTATTACCAGGATTTCCTCTGTGGTTAGGCAAGGCGTTTGGAAACACTGGTTTTGCTAATTTGATCACTCTGTTGCTGGAAAAGATCCTTGATTCTTCTCTCATCACTCATGAGGTGGTCAAGGAGATGACTAGGCAGAAGCAAAAAAGTCTCATTCTTAAATTAGATTTAGAGAAAGCATGTACTATGGTTAATTGGAGTTTCTTGGATAAGTTTATCGGCAGAAAATGTTTCAGGTTAGATAGAGAGGGTGGATTTGGAGATGTTTATCTTCTGCTATGTTCTCGGTTATTGTTACTGAAGAACTAAAAGAATGGTTTATAGGTGAGAGAGGAGTGAGACAGAGTGATCATCTCTTTCCGTTCTTATTCACATTGGTGATTGATGTCTTATTTTCCGTTCTTTATAAAAAGAAATAATGGCCTTCGCTTCTTTCTTAGTTTTATTTTTTTCAGAATTTAAATACAGTAACAAATATATAATTTAAGTGGCATGATAGGCTGAAATAAGGCAACCTGAAACCTTATGATGCTGTGACAATGTTCTGGAACCAAAATGCTTTTTCTATTGCTTGTGGGATCTATATCTTTTTACATATGACTTTAATAAGTTCAAGTAGTGTCTCTCATATTGCTGCAACATCAAACAGCAAAGACTAATTTGCTCAAATATTCGAACTAACTACAACAAAAATTTGCTCAAAAAATATCTCTTATATTTTGTCTCTATTACTTATTCAATTCTATATCTTGCACTTAATACTTGTTCAAAATCAAAATTCTAGAATACAGAGTACAGCTGCTAATAGAGAAAATTAGAAAATTATAAAGAGATGGAACTCTATAAACAGAATTGGAATGAACGAATTGCAGGAAACATGTATTTCATAGGCATGTATTAAATATATGAGAGTATAATTAACTTTAACTT